CCACACACTCTGGGCAGTTCAAGCAGCCCAGCACAAGGGATGTTTAGGTATTCTACACCAGACTACAGGGGTCTTTCCTTTTCCTAGACATCCTTCCGGCTCCTTGTCTCTGACAGGGACTCACAGGGTGACCTTTAACTCTCTGACACCTTTCTGTCTGTTTTCCTAAATGCAAAATGAAGACAGCGATTGTACTGCTATGGTTGACCAACAGCAGAACAGTCAATAGCCATTCACGTACTAATCACTGCTGCCACACAGGACTTTCTGGCGATACCCAAGTGAGCTCATTGAGCCAGCCCTGCTTGGGCTAGTGAGGAGCTGTCATCGGCAGCCTGATGACACATAGCTGAACGGGACTGTTTCCATCCAGTCCTCTCATCTGATCATGAGCTCTCATGTGTGACATGAACAAACATGCATCTATGCAAAAAAGTCATCGAGTCATTGGGGATTCGCCTATTTACCACGGTAAGAAGCACTGTCATTACGAGCCCCTGGAAGCCCAAAGCAGCAGCAGCGTGTGTGTGAGTAGAGCATGCTGCTGAATAAACCTCAGCCAGTAGTCACCACAGGGCTCTGAATTTTGGGCTGAAGCTGTGGATGGACAGTACAAAGGGCACCACATGAAGAAACCAACCCACAGAGATTTTTAAAAAGCCCACAAACCTTCCCTTCCTCTCCCTTGTTTTCCCATCATCAAGGGGAATGCAGTGCTGCTGACTTCAGACTGCTATGCAACTCCCAGGGGCGCTGCCAAAATGCCACCATGATGTCTCATGGCACAACATTTCAGCCAAATACCAGCCCAAGGGGGGTGGGGGAGCCAACCAGACCTTTATATATTGCAGCAGCAGTGATGTCACACACTCCAGCCAAGTTTGCTGGTTTGCCCAGCTCCTGTCTAGTGAAGAAAGTTGACATTCAGTCTATGCCAGGCCAGGAATAGTCTCTGTAATTTAACCTCCTCATCACAACTTGCTAGGCACTTAGAGCCACTGAAAAGGCCTCCTATTTAAAAGAGAGGGGAGGTTGGTTACTGATTAAGCTCCTTGAAATCTGTACATTCATGCAAGCTTTTCTGGTAGCTCATATCAGATGATGTCTACTGCAAACACCTCACATGTTTCTCAGCATTTCCCAAGCAGTTCCAAATGCTCAGTGTTGCTTTCCTCTGCCTTGAAAATAGCCTAAATTCAGGCTTCCTTAAATGTTTTAACTAGCTAAATCCTGACCTAAGCTCAAACACTGCAGCTTGCCTGTTGGCTGCCACGTTTGTCCAAAAAAGTAAAGAGATGGGACTTTACCAGGTTATTAAATCAGCCATGAACAGCTTCTTTGCCCAAAGTTCAGAAGTTGCCATCATACCAATACAAGGGACAGCCAGATCAGTACAGTGCTGCTGTTTGAATCCAGCCCCGGTAGTGATCTGCATCTTGAACACTTGGTGTAGATACAGCTTTTCAAACTTGAAACATTACTAGTGTTACACTCAGGAGAGACAAGGATCTTCAGAAGGATTTCAGAGACAGTGATAGTCAGTATTCTTTTTTTAATCAGTGGCACTGTGTTGTTTTTGTAACAGTGACTCCATCTAGGAAAATAATTGTTGAGATTACATCATGATCTCCATGTTTATTGTTACCCTACTCACTTTCCAGTGAATGTTCTCAGTTTACAAGGGACAAGATGTTTCTTCAGACCTCTGTCCATGAGATCTGAAAGCCAAGCTTCCTCTTAGTTCAGACAACACCACCAATAAATAGCGATAAACATTGTGCCACTGGAATTTAGTCAACAGCCCCGTTGATGAGTGAGCCAGCACATAATCTCAATCTCCCACAGCTGTGTTGGCTTTGCACAGTTAAGACTACCATAGAGGCAGTAAAATTGTAATTTAACCTCTGAGCAAAGAGATAACCGAGTACATCTCTGCAACTAGGATGTCCTTTTACATCTGGCTGCAACCGGACATAGCATTGGGGGTCTTTTTCTTTGCTTTTACTTTTTTTTATTATTATTCAGACATCTTAAACAGACCACAAAAAGCTCTGGTTGGTACAGGTTTGTCCCTAGACTAACACTGACAACTGTCCTTTCTCAGGTAAGGTGTAGGAGATCATCCCAGTGGGTGAGCCCTTGTTGCTGCTTTTGCCTGTATATTTTGAATACCATGAGCTGAAACAAAAATTTCCTTAGAGGAAACCATTGCTTCAGGAAAATCAACTGTATCCACATGTGCTATTTGCATTACTTCAGGGCCAGGCAGTTCTCCTGGTGGAAAATGGATATATTCTTGCAAAGATTAAACAAACTACCCTGAACCTTGGAGGTCTTTCCAGCAAAAGGACAGCAGCAGTGAACATTCACCATAACTGAGCTTTCCTTTAGCATCTCCAGACTCTGGTTCATGCATGGAAGAAAAAAGATGTTTTGTTTACTGCCCCTCACCATCCCAGCTGTCCACTTTTCCTTTCCTTTCCAATAGGGACAGTGAAAAGGATGGACTTTCAAACCTCAACTGCATTAGTTCCCAGTCCACCAGATTGAAATCTGTATACTTGTTGGCAGTAAGAAGTCATATTCAGGTGGAGTGAAGGCACGCATTTTCCTTTGCAGTCCCTCTGAAAGGGTGGGACAGCAGGGCCATAGAAAGTAGCAGAGAAGAAGTCATCTTCACAACCCCTCTTTTTAGCCTGGAGACATCACCAAGCCTTTGCAATTGGCAGCCTGCCAGGAAACCATTGCTCACTCAGTTGTTAGTCCTGCCGGGGCTACCAGAGTGTGCTGGAGGTTGTAATAGTTGTTTGCTAGGAACCTGACTACACTCCACAAGCTACCAAAACTTCAAGGTATCTGGTTGTTAGCACTCTGGGACGGATACCTGTCTCTTTTGGTAAGAAATCCTAAAATGGTTGTAAAATGACAGCGAACAAATAAATTAATGAATACAGCATGAGGCAAACTTCAGATTGTGCAAACAAATGTCTTTGTTTTCAGATTGCAGAGTTCACTTCACTTAAGATCAAAAAATGCCGAAGGTTGGAAACATCCTGAAACACTACTTCTGTCGAATCTACATCACTGGACTATTTCTACCTCCTCACTAAAGATGGTCAGAAATGAAGCCAAATACAAGCATAAGAGGGAGTTCTAAAGATGAGAAGCAAAATTACATGGCAGGTATGTACCTGTTGTTCTGATATGTAGCTGTATAACAGGTAAGAATCAAAACAGGGTGGGACAGCTTTTCATTTGTCTTCTCTTTTTTTTCTTGCTGCATTATACACAAAAATGTATGTGTGGTGTGGGGCGTGAAACTCACTTTTGAAAAATCCTTGTACAAAGTAAGGTGGAGAAACTCTATTAAGCTCCTTTTATTTCAGGTGTGAATCTATTGTAGTTCTTCATAAGTCATTAGAATTGTATGGCTGGAATGACAGAATCAAGATTCACTATGATACTTTGAGTCTAAAAATAGGTTGGCTGAGGGGGTTTTTTAAATAGAACAGGAAGGTGAGGAGTGTTTTCATTTGAAGAAACAACTGAGCCTGAGTAATTCAGCTGATTAAACCAAGTTCCTCTGACTTTTCATACTTTGATCAGCACTGAGTCATCATAGGGAAAAACATGCCCTTTCCAAGACCCTCACTGAGATGGGCCAAAGTGGAATCATGCCTTTGGACAGCTGGAGGGGCTGAAATCTAGATCTGGATTTCATTGCTCAGTTCTACAGTGGATCCAAGCCTGAGAAGGAGACAGCTTCCACCTGTATAGAACATGGAAGTTGCTGTAAATGTGAATTGTGGTGTTTCAGCTCATCACAAGTTAATGATGGAATTGTACCAGGAAATGGTGATACAGATCAGAAGTTCCTTAAGGAGTCTAAAAGGACTTTCCTTTTAGCTAGCTCTGATATGTTTTTACTCTTGAATGTGAGAATAAGTATCTAAAGAGTTTACAGAGCAACCTTTAAAGAGTTTTAGTGTGTAGATTTCAAGTAGCTGAAGGGTGTATTTTGCTTATACTTGTTCCATTCAAAGATTCCGCCATCCTGTCTTCAGACTGATGTGGAGATAGGCAAAACCACAATGCTGTGGGCCCTGGCTGTGCATCATAATCAGGGATTAATGGAAGGCTGTGATATTTTATAATTGTGTGGAATGGGTTACCTTCTGCTCTCAGCAGTTCTGGAACGGAAACCAAATGTTCCTTGTGCTCCTTGAGTGGGTCTGCTAGAGTCCCCTAGGCACTCCTGCCTTCTGCTGGTTAAGCTGATAATAGCAGCTTCTTCAGTTTCAATGTTCCAACCAGCTGTATCTGGATAGGGGTAGCTACAGGATTTTACCCTAGCAATATTTGCTTTGAATGTGCTAGTGCACAGTAAATCCTCCTTACCTGTGGTGCCATTCTGCTTTTGCAAACAAGGAGGTTCATCTCTATAGGCTTCATTTTCCACAGTCATGAGCTAACAGATGAGTGAGAATAGAATCTTCTATAATAACTCTATTTTTCACAAAATATTTTAAATTACAGTTATGATGTCTTAGCCAAGTAATTATTATCAACTTTTCTTTCACTGAATTTTCTCCCTTTTTATTACTAATTCTTTCTGGCCAAGAAATGGCTAACCTTCTTAGCTAAATACATGCACAGCACTTGAAAGTGTTAATGGTTGGAGGTATGGAAAGGGAAGTACTTGAAATTTGGCTCTTACATCCTTGTTTAAGAGCCTAAGTAAAGAATCTGAGGTGAAACCACTTTTTTCAATGGCACCTTCCATAAATTAAACTATTTACCATGAGTTGAATTGACCAAAATAACAATTATTTTTCATGTTGTTTATTGTGTTGCTACCATCTTGTTTAGAATACATGTAGGAGCAAATTAGTCAGTGACTGATATATCTAGTGTTAATATGAAAAAATTACAATTTATTAATTTTGGCTTTGCAGAGAATACATTTTCCTTCAGCTATTCCGTGAGACGAATCGATGTACAGCAGCACCGTCTGGAGGATTCGCTTTGTGCTTGTGAATTGCAAACAGCTGGAACGACCCAACACAACTGTCTGCCTATTTGACACCTGAAATTAATCCTTTGGATAATTCATTCATGACACCCGTGAACAATGCAGGGTAATAAGAAACATACAGAAGGACATAGTGACTCCTCAAGTATTGGGAGTCTCCTGGATGACACAGACAGAGAAGTGAGCAGTCTCACAGACCGGGCTTTCAAAAGTTTGTGTGTGGCGGAACTTGAAGACTCTTACAATGAACCAGGTCTTGCCATTTCACCTGACTTTGCCCTCCAATTCTCTGCTAAATTTCATCCAGGGACATTAAACCACACCATCAAGAAAAGCAATGTCTCTAACAAGCTAACAGCAAGAAACAATGAACATACAATATGGGCTTCCACATTCCAGCAGTTACCAAAGTGTGCTCCAGAGGAGAAAAGGATTGCTAAAAATAACACCTTTGCCACGGAAAGGAAAAAGCTGAATTTGCCAGTCCCTGGTCCAAGGAACAATAAACATGTTTCAAAAGTGTCCTCGTTAATTAAGACATTTGACAAGACTGCAGACCAAGGGTCAGGATGTTCCCTGATAGCCCTTAAGCAGCCCATTAGGAATAGCTTTCAAAAATGTAAATTAAATCATGGAAATGATATGGCTTGCTGGGATGACACAGACGTTTTAAGCATCCACAAGGAACTTTCTGAATTTTCTGAAGCTAGTCAAGATAGCGACTGTCTCAGTAGCAAACATGAGCCACAGAAAAGACCTAACAAACTAGACCTGAGTTATTGTGGCTCTGATGGTTATTATCCCGTGCTGATTGAGATGTCAAAAGTAGCCAAGTCAAATTTTTCCCGTTCATCTACAAAAGCTTTAAAAAACAGAAGTGTGAAAGTTAATGAGCCAGCAAAAAAAGGTAATTTTCTTCACAGTGAGAATAGTGCTTTTGAATCATGGAATGTTCATCATAAAAAACTGACTGAAAAGGAGGAATTTGTTGATATAAAAACAAAAAAGGAAGGTCTTGCATACCTGGAAGAAGCACCATTCATTAAAGGATCTCGCACACACGAACATAAATTGCCATCTGCCAAGATCACTGTTGCTAAGAAGCAGGAGAAAGATTTTCAGATGGAGCCAATTCCACCAGAAGCTGCTTTCAGCATCCCTCTCCCAGCTGTATACGTACCTCAGGGCCCCCTTCTTTCAGAAACTGAATTTACTGCTGCTCTTCCTCCCGCACCCCCCCCTAGGATCCATGTGCACCAGGGTCTTCCTCAGCCACCTCCTGTCCCACAGGCACTTCCTCTTCCACCCCCCACTCAGCAGGGCCCTCCCCCCACACCCCCCCCCCCC